TTTATGTATAGTATACATCAGCAAGTGCCATACTTTATGTATATCATACATCAGCAAGTGTCATACTTTATGTATATCATACATCAGCAAGTGGCATACATTATACACGTTATACAGTAGTTAACGTCATGCTATATGAACATTTTACACTAGTTAGTGTCTTTCTTTATGTATATTACATGCCTTTAAGTATCCTATTATACAGCATGCACTAGAAATTAACAGTAAGATTAAGATGTTTTGAAAGGCCTTCAAGAAGATAGAAATGCAGAAAAATATTTGTTTTTGATTCCAATGTTATTAAAGCAACTAATTAACGTATTTAAACGAGGAACTAAATAAACTGATAATTAAGCAACTTTGTCATGTTGTTAGTGTCATTAAAATGAAAAGTGGTTTATTGGCTACAGGTAGATCCGGTTGTTTGACGTCACTCACGAGAACTAATGTATACAATTGCATTTTTTCTGTGTGCTACGAGAAGAGCACGAATTTTTATTCTATCACGTGTGGAGGGCGTGCACAAACTCATGAGTGTAATTAGAATACCTACCCGAAGTAGTGGCGGGAAATTAACGAGAGAGGTCGTCGCACGAGCACTTCATTACAACTATCTTTCTCTACTATAAAAACAAGTGTCAACCATGTGCTAACTTTCGTGTAACGGAGTTATTAACCAAGCCCCCACCCCAGATGAGTCAACGATAAAGCCTTTTAACGCTAAAAAATCGGGTTTCGATAGAGCCCAAATAGTTAGAAAGGAGAAGAAAATTGTGTTACCATTTGTTTCTCACTTACAGTTATTTTGTGTGCGACTTCTTCTCTTCAGCACACAGATAGCCCAGTGTTTAGCTTTGTGCTTAAAACAAAGAAATAAATTAAGTAAAACACGTACTAATTTTTCATGTCATTCATTTATTAAGTAATTTCTCGTGTTTTGGAATTCTGAAGTAAAACATTTAAGTTACTGGTATTTTGAGTATTAATTAAACTCAACAAAATATTTTGCACAGGTTAGTGATTAATCTAGAAGAAACAGACTTTATGAGAAATTTACTCTAAAAGTTTAGGTTTAACAAAATAACCAAAAACTACCAAAAATATCGAAAAATGAAAGGCTTCAATAAACGGTTTCGTTGCCCTACCCCAATTTTGTTCCGAATTATCAATTAGGAGAGGTCAAAATTTTAAACTCT